ACCCCGGGTGCCGAGACTGACTGCGATTTTCGGAGAAAATGCAAGTCGTAAGCTAAGGCAGCCCCGTAGCTTATCGGGGGTTGGAGGAGGAGGGAAGCGCCTGATGCCGTGACTGTATACCTTACTGTACTAGAGAGCTTTGGAGGTGCGGGTTGGGTGTCAAAGGTGTGCCCACCTAGTATCCTTCTTCCCCCTTCCCTCTCCTTGCCTTCACACTTCCCCTCCATTATCCCGAAAAGCAAAAAAAAATCATGTACAAGAATTGGGTAAAAGAAGGAAAAAAAAGGGACGGGCCAGAAACAGGCAGTTTTGAACCAGTACATGGCGGGGGACGTGCCCCAGTCAGGATGATGTACCTCTACATCGGACCCCTCGAGAGCAAAAAGGAAGAAGCTGGGAGAACACCAAGAGTCAGTCTACTTGGGCGACCGGGTCCGTGGTTCTCGTCCGAGCAAAGAGGCATAGTGGGAGGATTGGGGGGGGGGGGGGGGAAGAGAGAGAAGAAGCAAAAAGAAGATGGAAAACAGCAAGGGAAAGCATCAGCTCGAATTCCTCAACACACCCTCCCCGCTCTTCCTTCACTCCCCTTTCCCCTCTCCTCTCTGTTCTGTACCTACGGTGCCTTGATAACTGGCTGGCCCGCAACTATCCCAGGCCTGAGAGGAGGATACAGAGAGTAAGGCCATGGCTAGTAGGATAATGGTCTACCGGTGGTCCAACACGACCATCCCCACCAAGAGGCAAGCTAAAACTTGACGCAATCACTTTGCGTTGACGGCCCGACGAGGGCTGCAACGTCGAATCCCGCATCGCGCCGGGTCGGTTCATGCAGCTGCTATGTTCTGCCGCCGCCGCCGCCGCCGCCGCCGCCCAGGGGGTATGTATGTCTGTATTGCTGGACACATCGTATTCTGGGTCCAACCCGGGCTCTGTCTCGTTCATCGCTCTCGTCACTGATGTCTCGCAGGGCCACCTCGGTCTCGCAGATCCCTCATCTTTGCGCAAGCGGCATCGTGAACAACCTCTCCCAATCGCATCTTGCCAAAGTGGCCAGCTGCTTGCCGGCCGCTTCACCCCTCGTTCCCTGGATGTGTGTGAAGGAACGAACTGCCGGTTAATGCTATTTCGTCTGTCCGCCAACTAAGGAAAACTGGTGACAAGGCCAAGGAAAGTAACTAAAAGCAAATACCTGGGGATAGAAGTGTAGGTAGACCGCAGAGAGGGAGATACAAGGCACCAAAACTTAATTAATTGCAAATCATTAACATGAACAGAGTCGCGGCGTCGGCGGCTGACGGCGGGCTTAGCTTTCTCCCTAAAGTCCGTCCGTTCGTCTGGCTTTTCCATTTGCAAGTTGCGAGGGCATGTTAAGGTACGAAGGTACGATACGAACGAGGCGTGTGTGTGCAGCACGGCACGGTGCAACAACACTTGGACGAGGCCAAGGGAAGCAAGTCAAGCCCAAAAAGCTAGGACCGCCTCGATGATGGGCAGAAAAAAGCTTCCAGAACTGCCGTCCAAGTGATGATGGAAGACGGAACCGTGTGGAAGGGAATGGGAAGGAGGACAAGGCACAGAAAGTTTGACCTGAGAGACGGAGACGAGGGGAGGGGATCGTGGGCATATAAAACAGAGTTGGCAGGAAACGAACACATGCGTGACATGGGAAACATGTTGAAGAAAAAAAGGATAGATGAAAATGTCAACGTCGCCGGGGACGCAAGACGATGCAGGGGAGATGCTCGGGGATGTAAACTTTGTACAGCCTGTCGTCGGGGAAGATGCGTCTGCTCGTCCACTCTGTCTTTTCTCAGCTCAAGCTGTGATGCCCCATTTAGGTTCCATTGTGTGCGCTCGGAGGAGTGGAGGGAGGGGGCCACTAGCACTTTGATGGCGTTTTTGCCCAGAAAAAGAGAAGGCACCAAGATGCAGCTGCAGCTGAAAAGCCTCTGCCTGAGAGAGAGGCTGAGATACCACAGACGTACATGGCCTCTCCGATTCAGCAAGACACTTGTGCATCGAGGGGGTCTCGATGTGGCAGACCAAACCATCTTGGGAGACCGACGCCGTGCGCTGTGGTTAGCGGGATGCAAGGTGCACGAAAACCCGAGAGAAGCATGCATCTCGCGCATCATTCATCACTCACATACGCAGCTTTCTGCGGCTGGGGGAGGGGGGGGGGGGGCTGTCCGGTATACGTGTCGAGTTGTCGTGATGCCGTGATTCGAGGTGTGTGTAACCGTATGTAAGTAAGTAAATGTGTGATAGATGCAGCGTCAGCACCGGCATCAGCATCAGCTTCAGAAAAACATCAGCATCATCGACATACACATACACATATACACACACACACACCCACACACCCGAAAGGACGAGTGCCTGCCTTACCTAAAATGCCAGAGTACTACTGTACCGTACCTGCCTGACCTTACGTACATGACGGGGACGCAAGGCAGGTGTCGTTGTCAAACGTGGCTGCCGTGTAGCCCAAGTACGGCAAGAACGGGGACGTGACCCACGGGAAGTGGGGGCCAAAAACCCCCCAAAGCTGGGAAGGCAGTCAGTCACGTACCTTACCTCACGCACCTCAGCGCCAATGGAAAGTGGAAACGAGGCCCCAATGAAGAAGTCGTTCTTGCCTTGCCCTTCCATTGCTGTGCCGCTGCCCGCGCCCGCGTCCGCCCGCCGTTTCCCCGTAACCCGTTTCCCGTTTCCCGTCTCCCGTCTTCGCAACCACCAACCATCCACCTCACTTCACCCCCCTCCCTCCTTCCTCCACTTACTCCCATAAGCGCCCTTCCTTTCCGTCCGTTTGTTCAGACCCTGAACCGTGTCCGAGCTACCTTACCACCACCACCACCACTACCGCCGTCAGCCCGAGAGCCCGGCTGGCTCACCTCGCCTCGGTACGTACCTCGGCCTCGGTGAGCTCATTGCCTGATTGGGCAAGAAGCTCTTTTGCCTTTTCGTCTACCCGTCCACCGTCCACGCCGTCTGTTATTTCCCTTTTTTCTGTACCACTTTTTCTTCAAGCGCACCAACGGGGGGAAAAGCAGACAGCTTTGATCGATATAGTATACCAGTAGTATCATTGACAAGTTCACTCAACGGCCCCAGCGTCGATCAATCTTGTTGAAAGGAAGAAAAGAAATTCCTAGATGAGGGAGGGGAGAGGAGGAGGAGGAGAGGGGTGTGAGGGGTTTAGTTCAAGAATACAGCCTTAAGTCCAAAAGCTGGGTCTTGGCTGAACCAAAAAAAGCATCTTCTCTCTTGTAATATTCTTCTCAAATGCGCCCCTATGAACGGGAATATTTGTCGGCTAGCGCGATAAATCCCACGAGAAGGGGGGGCCTTTCTGCGTTGGCGCGGACCGAATATGTCTACACTCTCCTTTCGCTGCCGCTCCGAGGGGAAAAAAGGGGGGGGGTTTGGGGTTTGCGTGACGTGGCGAGACGACGCTGCCAACGAATTGCTTCTTTGAGACTTCTGTTTTTCCCTAAAGCACCTGTCTATCTATCCATCAGTCTAGGTACCAAGGCGCGCGTGAGACATTGCTGTCCTGTCAAGAACGACGCTGGCACATCGAAAAAAAAAGTGACGACGACGACAGCGGCGCGGGTTTGTAGCCACGGGCGTGGGCCCCTTACCCATCCACCCACCCTCCTTCCCAGTCTTAACAAATCGCGCGCCGTTCATGTGGGATGGATGGATGATGGGATCTGACCTACCGGGTCGATCATAAGCAAGGAGACATACCTACGTGGGGAGAGGTGGCAGAGAAAAGTGCAGAGAAAAAAGTCCATGTTCGAAATGTATTGGATTGGGATGACTCGCATCTGTGGCATAAGCTGACTTTTCTTCCGCCCGGGCACCCGGGGCTGCCAACCCATCCCCTCGTCCTCTCGATCGCCTTTTTGTAGCCTTTTTCGCAAATCATCCAGTAAAAACTACTTGGGATCCTTTCTTCTTTTTCCCCTTGTCCCCCTGATGGTCAAGCTACACACCTTTTCTACTCGCCTCACTTCAAGTTCCCTTTGCGACCACCCCCACCCCCCCCCCCCCTTACTGCCACCTTCCCTATCCCCCACGCCCATGAGTTTCTTCTCGTCATCGGTGTTCTTACTAAATCGACTTTGTTTATCAGATTCGCAGTGGGGTTTTGTTCTGAATCTTGCGCCAAGCAAGGAAATGATAACACACAATCGATCGTCTATTGTTTGAAAAATCTAGAGATACCAAAAGTCCGGCGTAAAGAGATCTCATAATCATGTACGAGACCGGCCTTCGTCTCAAACACACCGACGCTATCACTGACTGGTCCGGCGTCTACTACATGAATAACAAAGGCAAAAAAAAACAAAAAAAAAACACACACAGTCGGCTGTAACGGTAAACAGCTGATGCTCTATCAAATATCCGCTCTGAAACCCCATCTTGATGAACAAGTCCCAGTCCCTCCGTCCCATTCACGCCATAAAATTTCAAGGCAAAAAACAACAAAAGTGCAAAAAAAACATAAAAACCCAACGCTGTGGAAAAGTTGATTTTGGTCGGACCAAACCTCCCTCGATAGAGGCAAAGGTGGCTTCCTTTCTGTTGTAATGGTGACTTTGACTCTTCTCGTTGACACACAACCCTTCCCTCCTCTCTTCCTTCTTTCTCCTTGATCCCCATGCAGCCAACTCCCATGTTTACAGCCCATAACAAATGTTCTGCGTCGGTCGCCCAACTATGCGATTCTCTGAGAGATAAACCCAAAAAAATAAAATAAACCCAAATCAAACAGTCCCCTTTTGGAAACCCGCCATCTCCTCCCTCCTATTATAATCTGTATCCGTAGTATAGAGCGAACGAGTTCGAACAGTGAAACGAAGTGGGTATAAACTGGGTAGCGAGTGTCGATGTAGAGAAATGCGGTCGGTCGATGAAATTCCAAAAGGCCTAAAAAGAGATAAACACTTTTTCTGTCGTACGCTGTTATAATTCTGTTGTTCTCAGCTCTACCGCGGGCCACCCTCGTGGACATGATGGTGATGCCCGTGGTGACCGGGTGGTGGCGGTCCAGCTGATCTGCTCGCGAATCCCGTCTCGTGAGGAACACGCGTGTAGCTGGGATACAAGGGACCACCGGCAGATACGCCCGGCCCCGATTCCTGGCCAGGATAGGGGCCCTCCATGCCCCGAAGAGGTGGTAGTCGCTCTCCGCCCGGCGCCGTAGACGGGGGTCTCTGCTGCATCATGCCATACGCTGGAGCCTGCATGGGCGGCAGATTTCCAGCTTGAGGGATCGGAGTGCCATACGAAGGCATCGAGAACTCTGGAGGCGGGGCCGAGTCGGTCCTACGCCTACGCGTCGGTCGTTCCATTGAAGACGCCTCGCTCGATGCGTAGCCCTGAGACTGATGAGGCAGCATCGGAGCTTGCGCCATGGGGCTGGTCTCCGCCATAGATCCTCCGCTTCTCGACGACGTTGGGCTCGGAGGTCCGTTCGCCATGTCGCTGAGAGGCGTTCGAAGAACCACATCGCGAAGACGGTTGCGCTCGTCCCGGTAAAAGTCCCTCTCCCGAGTCAACTCCCGCACTCTCGCCTCCAGGTCACGTCCACGCTGCTCCAACTTTTGCAGACTGGCAGTCTGTTCCTGGTCTCTCTCCTTCTTCCTTTGTCTGAAGCGTGCCGAAGCCCCGGCATTCCGTTGGCGCTTCTCATCTGCCTGCTTCGACGCCTGATGTACGTCCACAGGTATGAGAATGCCTCCCTCGTCTCCCGGTAGCCTGACTACCATGCCACCCTCCGCCTTCGTCACATCTGACCGCAGACTTTGGTATAAGGACGTTCCAGCTCCAGGTGTGGACCAAACAGGGACGCCTGGTGACTGTGGTGGGGGATAGTTCTGGCCAGGAGGGAGCATTGGTTGACCATGGAACTCCGTTGGTCTACCATGAGGATCTCGTGCCATAGGGGGCAGTTGAGGCCGGTCGGGGTTGCCAGGTTGCATGTGCCCAACCATGGGCTGGGACATGGAACGCGGCGGCGTTGTGAGCGGACCCATTCCTGCCGAAGGAGGGCCTAGGGAAGGTGGTCCAGAGAAGGGCAGACCGGTTGCTGAACGAAGGGTTTCCTGGGGACCCTCCTCGCCAGGATAAGGGCGCTTCAGTCGCGGCGCATTGGGCGGCAAAAAGGGAGTTTGTTGTGGCTCAGGACCTCGCATACTCGTCTGGCTCACGCTGGCTGCGCGTACTTCTCGAGGACTGAGAATCTGCCTCGGAGCACCCATGGGAGGGAAGGGAAACCCGCTCTTGGGCGAATGTTCCGATGGTGTGTGGCCCAACGGCGTTGTTGTCGGGTGGCCAGCTGGAGTACCGGGCTGAGAACTAGGATGTCCCCGACCTTGGAATGCATATTGGCGATCACTAGACGTGGTATATTGCCCCGGAGGCATGCCATACGGCGAGGTCTGACTGTCAGTTGGCCGAGGCTGTGATGACTCGCCAGTGGAGCTTTCCTGTTGCGCTTCGGACGGGTTGATCAACCCTCGGATGCCCAAGGACCGTGGCGCATGGGAGTGTCTCTCGCCGGCTGCGGAAGGGGTTCTGACAACATCTTGGAACGCTTGACTATCTCGAGATAGAGGACTCTGCTGGGAAGTAAAGGGAGCTCGAGGTGGTGATTGCGTCGTAGAGTGAGGTGCAGGTCCCCTCTGTGACATCGAGACCTTTTCCCCTTCACTCTCCCGGCCGTTTTGGCCCGAACATTGACCGTTCTGGCCAGTACTCGAAGCCGAGGAGTAGTCCGAATCCGGCCCGGGAGAAGGTTGCTTGGTAGTTTGTGTGTTGTCTTGTCCAAGATACCGGGCAGTCGTATTCAGGCAATCTGTCTGTGCGTTTTCGCCCTCCTTAGCCTCGCGGCTACGTTGGGGTTGATGATGTCCAGAGAATCGGACAACCGCTGAGATCGCCAGGTTGTCGGCTTTGGTGGGACTAACTGGGTCGAAGCCAACAGTCCCAAGGTCTAGATATCACGAATAGGTCAGGAGGTAAGAAAGACTTGTTCAACGGCTACAATGGAAGCCGTCCAGTCAAGTCAATCTTCTGATCAGAGAGCTGGCTAAAGCCCGATGTGGTAGATGCAAGCCTGTCGAGATTGGCGTCGGTGGTCGTAATAATGACCTCTCTATGTGATGGTAGGCTGCTTTGCTTTTATCGACTGTAAGAAAGAGCTCTCCAGATGAGATGCAAGTTTCGGTGTGCAAAGTACTTGGGTGACCATAAAAGGCCGTGGAGGAGGTTGGAAAGCTGGCTGAAGGTTGGCAGTGCCGATGGTCAGGATTAAATGTGTTGATGGCGTGGGATGAGTGCAGGCTGAACGGGGGCCACTCATGACTCTGGATTCGATCCCGGGCAATGAGTGGCCGAGGAGAACCTCAGGCACTAGGTGATGGCTGGATCGACTCACTGTGAGTAGCCAACGCGTCCTTCTTCCTTGCTACAGCTAGGTCTCTTTCTTGCTGGTCTTTTCAGGAACTCAGGAGTGATCCAACAATTTGACGTGTTCTAAGTCTGTCTGCTTGATAGAAGAGAATCGTTGCAGGACGTGAATCAAGTGAGAGTTGTTGCTAGGCTGGATATTCGAAGCAGCGTAGTGCGGTGAGCCGTGTTCCTCGTGTGAACTGAGTGTTATTTTGATAACCGGGCAGGGTGGGTTGGTGACCAAGGTCGTATTCGATTTAGATGAGCAAGTGTGATCGAAAGGAGTGGTTAGGAGTCTCTTGCAAAGCTGCTATGGTTCCAATGTAACCGCCAGTCATTACACGACAGAGACTATTAGGCAAGGTCGGGAGGAGCCAGGTCTATTTGATTTTTTTTCGAATTGCCCTAGCGTAGTTCTCTTATGGCGGCATAGCCTTCTTATCGACCGAGCCCTGTCAACTTACCGGGGAACCAACGAGCTTAACGTGCATGGGGGTGTACACGGTGGTGGAGGAGAAGGAGGAGAAGAGGAGGATGAACGGCGACATGGATTTGGATACAAGTTGAAGCTGTTGGGTTGTGGACAGCAAATGTGCTGGCCGGGGTACATGGCATGGGATCAAGGGAAACACCAGGGGGGTAGACCCATTCTCGGCGCCATAGGGTGCTCAGACATTGACAGGGCTTAGTCGACCGGTTGCTCTCGTTCGGGTCGAGAGGTAAGTAACGGTACAAGTCCCCTGCTGACATGACGGTACCGACTCTCTCTCTCTCTCTCTGTCTCTCTCTCTCTCTTCCTCTCCCTCTGTCTTGCTTGCGTGCCTTGCCTTTGGCTGGGACCTTGACCTAGGGAAGTTTGCCTCTTGTTTTTGCTTCTTGTGACATGCCATGCAGAATTACTTTTTCCAGGAGGGTTAGCCATGCTTAACGCACGGGGCCAAAATGTTCTCGACTGAAGAGCCATTCCGGAACGGCAGCGAGAAACTGGGATGGTGCTTGCTTGTGCTGCCTCGGTCTTCCTAGCAATGACGGGCAGCAGTTAGTGATGCTTCGCAGCTAGCTAGCTTAAGCTAGCTGTCCGTACAAATTCACAATGCTCAGCTCAGGCGGCGTCAACTTTCAAGTACGCGAAGAATGGCTGCTCGGCCGAGACGTACTGGGCAGCTTGTCATGAACCCAAGGGGCCGCGAGATGACGATGCGCTGCGCAACCGTTATTGTGTCGAGGGCAGCTCCGTGACCTGCAAGGATGGTGGCACGTCTGGCACTCCACGATGCTCATTGCGTATCTGGCTCTCTCCCTCTCGCACAGATGTATTCGCATCCGAGGGTGTGTGCAGCTAAGGCACTGGGGTTTGTTGTCAGCAGCAGTCAGATATGTCTGAAAGGAGAAGAGGAATGCTCTTACGCCCCAGGAATGGCTTCCGCTGCATGATGCAAGAATCGGGGAGCTTCCCCTCTCATCACCGCCCTTCTGACCGACTTTGGCAGGCTGAGGGAGAAACGCGGGATGTTGGACCTTTCTCTCATCTCGACCAGTGGAGCGTGGGAGGGAGAAAAAAATACAAATCGGCCGGGATTTCGGGGGTCCCTGCGCGGGTCTCCGGGGGGAGGGGAGAGGAGCGAGAGAAGTCGAACGGGGGAGTGAAGACGACGTCCTTGGACCAGGCTCATGGAAGCTACTTAGACGCTAGGTAACTAGCCGGCTAGCGTGGTTCGTCAAGCATGGCAAGGCACGGAGGAGAGGTAGACGGTAGCGTGCGGTGTCCCGTATCTGTTCAGAGAATAGTGTGGTGGTAGTGTCCAACGTCCAAGTCCATAGATCCCCGTCGAAGACTTTTCGTCCCAAAGTGCCCGCCTGTCCGGTACGAGTAGGATCCAGCGCGGCGTGTTTGGTGCTGAGCAGATCGCCATTTTTGCTGCACATCCACTCGGCTCGGCGTCAGTCTCTTGGGTAACACTCTATACCTATATAATCCGTACAGAGCGGAGCACAGAGCATCCAGGTGATGTATAGTCTCCGTAGGCATTGGAGCACCTGGTCGCATCCAGATCTTGTAAGGTCCCGGACGGTCCGTCGGTTCTGGTTTGCTTCAGTGTGTGCCTAGATGCGCAGCTTATAGCCCCCCGGGATCCAGGTAGTCAGCGAAATCCGCACTCGGTGTGTGGCGGTTTAGCCTTTAGGAAAGTCGATTTACAAGCCTATGGGCTAATATCGAATCGGCAAGCCGGATAGTGAAGAATGGGGGCCAGCTGGGCTAGCGCAACGGCGGGCCATATGGATGTCTATGATTGGAATCCATCTGATCAACGGTGACGTTTGGAATGCCCGTCTGGGGCGGAAATAAAGCTGCACTGATTCGCATGAGTGGCCAAGAAAGGAAGACACGGAAACTTTGAGCCACAACTCTGCGCCATTGTCTCGTGCAGCAAGGGTTCTGGCATCTGTACACCTAACGAGAAGGAGAGCACTCTCGAGCGCGTGATTGTAATACGGAGAGGAAACAGCTGGGCTTGGGGTTCGAGATGAGATACCCAACCCAGATGTTTGTTTGTGTGGGTGTATGTGTGTGCGTGTTCGAGGTGAAGTAGAGGCTGGTCAGTCGATGACTCGTAGTGCAGCACTGCAGGTTCTCCCACCGGCGGGATCCGATGGAACGCATGTCGGTGACGGATACGCGATACTCTAATGTTCCGTTGCTTCACGGCGGTGTCCAGGGTGTATGAAGGTTGGGCTGAAGCGGAAAGAGAGAGAGGTGATCGATACGGAGTACGTATGTACGGTCCATGGCAACCCACGACGATGTCGAGTTATCCAGACGTGACTAAGGCCGCAACTCATTTTGACAGTACGTATACGGAATACTGAGTATTAATTACTGCCGTGACTTGGGTTGGACGACATTACACCGTAAACCACAAGGGGAAAGGACGACGAAACCAGAGCTAGGCAAGATTCAAGAAGAAACAATAGCGGAGCTGGACCAGGAGATGGGTAGCAGCCGGTACGGCAGATGCGGAATGATGTAAGTCGCGGCCCTCTTCTTTTGGGCGTACCGGTACATGCAGCGTGGTTCCCGACCAAGTTCCTCAGCCTAGCGCACCCTGAGGCTTGCGCACCCATCGGCATGTTTCTGCGAGTTGCAGGGGAGACACGAACGGTGCCAGGCACTTGGAGTGCACACTCCATGGGCATGGTGCTCAATTTACTCTAGGCTCTGGTAATCTACACAGTAGTGTGCCAGTAGCTACTCTCAAGTCTGGACGGCTACGGTTCATCGTGACCCAACTCACCTGAATGTCCTGAACAGAAGTGGGCTGCTTTAGACCTCGTCGTCGAGACATGTCTCCCTCCCCCGGACATGTCTCTACCTTATCCGTACAGATACGTCAAAGCATTAGCACACGGTAGCGTAGCGCCCACCGGCAGCACGATGCTACTTCCGAGGCGAGATCCGGCTTGCTGCCGATGGCGACAACCCTCCGGCGCTTTAGAGTTCGGTAGGCAGCGTATCGTTCGGAATCTGGGGCAAGCCGCAACGCGGGAAAGGGGAGGCTGGAGCTTGGAAGAGAAGGGGGTAGAGGGACGAATGGCTTCGACGGTGTGTATCTGGAACCTGCGCGCCAGCCAGACTCTCAGCAGAGTCTAATTGCCAGAAACTCAACTTGTGTATCGTACGGATACTGTATACGCCACCTACTCCCCTTCCATCCCTCCAAGCGAAAAGAAGACTGGATTGACCTCGCTCTCGATTGGATGTCATGCGTTCTTGGACCCTGACCTTCCGACGGCTTGGGCAGACAGGCGA